AATCCTGCAGGTGCAGCAGAGACAGGGAGTCCTGCGCAGGCCAGGCGCTTCTATTACCTCCGCAAGAATGGAGGTGGAGGCAACAGGAGCATCAGAAAAGAGCTCCACATGTGGCTAATTGGAGTCCCGACGCAGCAATTCATGGCAGATTACATATCTGCAATGCGACGCTTCAGCTCACATGAAAGTGACACACTGTACAGCGACTTGACAGAGTAACAGCACTTCAGATCAAGGGACGCAATTGTCAGCCAGCACTCCAAACCAAACCAGTCTCAAAACTGTGAGCCAAATGCTCTCTCCACCTGCGAGCCAAATGCTTTTGAACTGCAGCGAGGGGCAGGTTATTGTTCACAAATCTTAAAAAAAAAAGATACTTAAAGAAGAACATCAAAGTCATTTGTTTCTGTCGAGAGAGGAGCTTGGCGGTCTCTAGTGCTGTCCACATGACTTTTCCCACAGAAACTAATCATACTTCGGTTCAGCGGCGGCTCAAGTGCTGCTCGTTTACTGCCAAATGTAGCCACGTAAAGAGGATCCCAATCTGCACTCCAGCACTGGAGGAGATGGAGGGAGAACCGCAGCCGCTGATCGATGGCCTCATCACATATCCAGTGATTCTTGCCACATAGAAAGAGACCCACTAGCGCACAGGACTCCGAACTTTTGCAGAGGCCAAATAAATTCTGCATTTCTAAATACATTTACACTGGAATCACTACTGTGGGAACACTTCATCACGCACTTGAAAACTGAAAAACGTTGATTCTAACACACAGCAGACAGAAATGTGTCAACGTTTGTGTCAAGTTGACACAAATGACACAAAACCTGAAAGCCGAAAGTAAAGCAGAACACATTTTAACCCTGTAAAGCCTGACATTAAATAACAGTCCAAAAAAAAAATGTAAATGGAACAGCTTATCAAACCTTTTATTGAGGAAGAAGAAGAAAAAGAAAAAAAACACTTGCGCTTGTGTTTTTTGTTGAGCATCACATTTGATACATCATGATTTTATGGCTCATATAATATGAATAGAATAGAATAGAATATGTGACCCTGGACCACAAAACCAGTCATAAGGGTCAATTTTTCGAAATTGAGATTTATACATCATCTGAAAGCTGAATAAATAAGCTTTCCATTGATGTATGGTTTGTTAGGACAGGACATTATCTGGTCAAAAAAAAAATCTAAATATTGAGAAAATCTCCTTTAAAGTCGTCCAAATGACGTTCTTAGCAATGCATATTACTAATCAAAAATTACGTTTTAATATATTTACAGTAGGAAATTTACAAAATATCTTCATGGAACATGATCTTTACTTAATATCCTAATGATTTTTGGCATAAAAGAAAAAATCTATAATTTTGACCCATACAATGTATTTTTGGCTATTGCTACAAATATACCCCAGCGACTTAAGACTGCTTTTGTGCTCCAGGGTCACATATATCATAGAATATTTTATTCAGAGGTCCAAAATGAGCCAAATCTGGTAGCTTGTAATTTTAACAACAAAATAGCAGATTACTTTCACAAAATGCATATAAATATCAGTTGCCACTTTATATCTCTATTGTTGGGGCAAAACATGCAATGTGATGCAATACAATTATGATTGAGAGATGAACAAATAAGTGTTTCTCAAAAGCCTGATGAATCATAATTGATATTCACATTTTATCATTACAAAAAAAAAAGATATATGGATAATCAAGTAAACCTAATTAGCTTTAATCCAGTAAGTGTTCTTCTTGAAATATTACTAACATTAACTTATGTTTACTTTATAAAAATCAGTAAGATTTCACAGCGAAAAGAAATGTTCAGAATTGATTTATTTATTTTAGAATTACATTAAAAGGCTTTTTACTTGCTAAAAAGTAAACTATCAATCAGACAACAGAAGGCAAAGTTGTGGACATGTGCGCATCAAATATGATACAGTAGGCTTTATAGAGTTAAGTAAGAGGCAAAATAACAGGAAACAGAACAGGGTGGCAGATTGATCCAGTTTCTGTTAGCCTCACACCTGCTATAAACTTTCATGCGTGTGTGGCTCACCGATTTGAGCTCAGAATCTAGAACATGACACTCAGGACACGCAACATCTAATTTAAACGTTTGCAAACCAACCTGAAATTATCTATAGCCATTCTGCACCACTGAACAATACATGCTAATTAAACTCATTTTTGCGGACCCCTGGGCCTGAAGGTTGCTTTCATGATGTCACATAATTACTAATTATTTCCATTTTTGTGCTGGAACAACCTGTGCTCTTCTACCATACATGTCCATGTCACTCAATGTCACTCAAACACAGCTTCTATCATTCAGATTATTAGCTGTACACTGTAAAAAAATTATATTTTGCAGTTTAGTTGTTTCAATGAATGTTTTTAGGATGACACAACTTGCAGTTTCTGAATTTGTTCATTCAACTAACATTTTAACATTTTCATTGTCTAGTTTGTAAGTTGAGTGAACTAGAGTATTAGCCCCCTCAACTTAAAAAAATGTGTTGAATCAATTCAATAACAATATCAAGTTCTTAAAGGGGTCATATAATGCTACATGCACTTTGACAAGTTGTTTGAACTGAAATGTGTGTTGGCAGTGTGTGTACACAACCACCCTAAAATGATAAAAATCCACCCAGTGGTTTTTTGTTAATCTACTAAAATCTTTACCCCTTTCTCAAATCGAGCTGATCTCAGATGCCTGTCTGTGTGACATCACGTTAAAACAAAACAGTTAAACTGACAGACTATGGCCCGGTTTATAAACGGGGCTTAGCTTAAGCCAGGACTAGATCTTAGTTAAATTAAGATATTTAAGCAACTTTTACAAAAATGCTTTAGAAGAAAACGTTACAGGTGTGCATCTTGACACAGAACAATGACACTGACATATTTTAAGATATGTCAGAGTAAGATATTTTCAGTTGAGACAGCTCAAACATGCATTTTAGTCTGGGAGAGTAGACTACAATGCAAGCTGTTCTGACTCACGGACTGTAAGTACGTTTTTTATATTTAAAGAGTTTTTATATTTTATATTTTTTATATTTAAAGCGAGTTTTTTGGGCAGTGTAGAGTAGGGCTTCGTGTTTGTCATTTCTCCGATCACAAATGCAGACATGGTTTTATGTTTCCGCGGCGCGATGCAACGCAACGCGTAAAAAGAAAGTATAAGTCATTATAATCCATAATTATGTCCCCACTAGATGCAACGAATGCCTTGTTTATAATAGTGTTTTTTTTTAAATCCCTATTTTAAAATCCCCTTTCTCAAATCAGGCTGTTCTGAGATTCCTGTCAGAATGGCGTAGTTCTGCACAGGCCCCTCCCACGATAGTTGATTGACACTAGCGTCTTACCTTAGACCCGCCCATTGTGTCGACTCCGGTGCAGGGGAAGACAAGAACGCCTCCGATTAAGCAATTGAGGTGTTTTGTTGTTGGATGTAATAATGAATATAGCAGTCGTCATTTACTCCCGACATCTGAGCCACTGAAAACGCAGAGGATTAACGTTACTTTGTTTTGAAGGGAATGCGCCGATCCCGATCTGCCTAAATGCGTCTATGTTTGCGCGAATCATTCGTGATCCAGCTTCATCAACAGAAGAAGCGAGTAAAAGGGTTTTTTTATGAATCTTTGCAAATCACCTTTCCTAATAACGTGCTAGTTATCCAATTCCGCAGCTTAAGTTTACAGTCTGCTCGTCACCCCACGGAAGAGAGGGGCGGGGTCAGCAGAGCTCATTAGCATTTAAAGCAACATGGACTAGAATGGCTTGCTGAAAACAGTTTTTTTTTTTTTTTTTACAAACTTGCATGATAAGTCTTAAGATTATTGTTATTTCTCTTTTTTCAAAGCTTTTTCATGCTTAATGAAGGAACAAAATCTGTTTACGAATGGGGCAAGAAAATTAAACTTCATTCAATATTCATTCATTCAGACATTTACATGCCATATACATGACACAAGTCTTATTTCTGCACAGTGGCCTTGTGGGTAAAGCAAATGCACCAATTTATTGAGCTGTCAGGCCCATGTTCCCATCCTTGTCCCCTATTTCTCTCTTCCATCAATTTCCTTTCGTACTACTATTGTGTTTACCAATAAAATGGCTAGAAAATAAAAGTACCAAGTATTTTTTTTGGGGGTAACACTTTATTTTAAGGTCCAATTCTTACTATTAACAAACCATTAACAAGATAGTTTGCCTCAATAAACTCCTAATTTGCTGCTTATTAACAGTTAGTAAGGTAGTTGCTAAGTTTAGGTATTGGGTAGGATTAGGGATGTAGCATATGGCCATGCAGAATATGTGCTTAATAAACAGCCAATATGTTAATAATAGGCATGCTAATAAGCAGCTAGTTATTAGTGAGAAGTGTTATCTTTTTTTTCTAATTATAAGAATGTTAATATTTTGACTGGAAAACAAGTCAAAAATACTTATTAAAATAATATTTTTGTTGTTAATAAAATGATTTGAATAATGTTAATAAAGAATTTAAAATCTGTTTTCTTTTTGAATGCCAATATCATCCCATATAAGACAAAAATGACTGTATAAAAGCAAAACATTTAATATAAATAATTGTATATAATTAATACGTTTAAAACTGAACCAAGAAAATGGTCTAATCGTATGCTTTCCTTGTTAACCTCCAATTCAATGAGAAAAGTAAGTCTGTTCAGGTCTCAAAAGCATTTTGAACTTGGGCACAAATGGAGCCATACAACTGACAGAACATATTTGAGATGACGTTCAATGTCCAAGAATGTGATTGTGCACATGGACTGATGTGCAGCTGCATAAACTGTTGTGTCTCATCTATTTACATAGATATGTGTATAAACGTCTGATAAGACAATATCAATGTATTGAGAAATCATGTGCGGGGAACCTATTGCCAGAAAAGCTTAAAACCTGCTTGAATTTGGACCATTATTAAGAATGAGCGTTTCTGAACTCACCATTGAGTTTTGCTCAGAAAGCACTCTAATGTAACAGGCAGTGCAGCGATTTCATCGAAATCAATCTGTGAGGCGCATAAAAATGATTGACGGGCCAGTTATGGCCTGCGGATTGCTAGATGACAAGCCCTGCATTAAGAAAAGATTGTTGTGAACTTACACTGAATTTAGTGTTGGGCTCCTCATTCAGATTGACCCTGGTGAGAACACTGCCCGAGGTCTCCTCCACATCGAAGATACTAGTGCTGTAAGGAAACTGCTCCAAATCCACTTTATAGTGAACTCGACTAGCCGCTGTACCCTGAAAGAAAATGAAAAAAGCTTTAAAAAGAAAACTCTCTCCCAACTATATCAATATTTTGTATGAATATCAAAGTTTTCATAAAGATAGAATGTGGTCATTATATAAGAAATAATTGACAATGACTGCTGAATTATATAATGCATTTTCATTAACATTTAAACATGTGAATCAGTCAGAATGAAGGATTCAGTCCTTTAGTGGTATAAATCACGATCTCAAGTCAAGTCGACAAGGTGTTAAGTTGCAGGCATGTTTAAACCAAAATTTTTCAAGCAATGGTCAACTTAGATTTTTCTTCTAAGCACATCAATCTGACAGACCCAATTTGTTCATTTTATTCTGTTCTTCTTAAGTCCAGCCTCCCACTGGGAGTTTCATAAGTTGTGAGACTGTGAGATCCGATGTGTAGCGTTGGTCTGGGGACAGAGTGGTTGGTAGCCCCGCTGTGATGGAGATAATTACGAGGGTGAGAAATGGAGCCTGCGGGTGGGCCTGTCCTCATGAGAACGTGCTGAAAAACCCATTCATCCACCCACGGGTGGGACAGCTCCACACATAGTGCTGGTCGGGGCATACGTTTTGGTGTGAAATCAGACTACAAATGATTTTTTCAGCTCAGTCCTGTGTCTTCAGGGCATATGGAGAGGATTGGGGTCATGAGGCATTTTAAAAGCACGAGGAGTTATGCCACACTGTGTTTATCATTTACATTTCCTCACTGCTCTTTTAAAATCCTGAGAAAACTTTTTTTTTCTTTAATATTTTATGTCTTTTCAGTTTGAAGACACTCTATAATAGCAGATATGATTGCATTGTGCCCAGAAAGAGTAAGCTTTTTTTTTTAACATGTATTTAGGAAGGCGTGGCAAAGATGGGTTTAATTCTGATTTCTTTCTGTGTGGATGAGGATGGCTAATGAATAATACACGCTGATGGGCATGAGGAGATATCAGATGCCAGTATGAAGAGCCATGTGACAGATGCTCAGAGAATAGGGAAAAGTGGAGAGAGTTGCCAGAACCGCATTGATAGACAGCAAAACAAACCTTGTCACCAATGGGCTGAAGAGATGCCCTAAATAAGAGCTGCTGTTTGTGAAAAACAGAATCATTATGTGCCAGTACGAAATAACCCTCGAAAACGGTGTTCGCCAAATGATTGATTAGCTTGACTGAAAAAAAAAAAAAAAGGTTGAATCCATGTATTTCATTTGCCAAGTGAATATGCAAAAACCCATCAACAAGATTGAAGTAAATTACGGTAATGCACAGCTTTGGATGTGGTCAGAGTGATGATTTCTGCCTGAATATGTAAAAAAGGCTCTGTCAGCCATGTATTAACTGGCTGGGAAGTAACATGATGTCAAATTAGCTTTAAAACATTTGCTCACTCAAAGATCACCAAGTAAATTATTGATAGCGCTATTGTCAATTGCTTACTGTGCAAATTACATTATGTCAAAAATGGCAAATTTATATGTTACTATTTAACTTACTGAGAATCTCACAGATGCAATTTGTATGTTTTGAGGAAACACATGGCAGGACTGAATTATGGGTAGGGCCAGTGCTATGGGACCTCAGACTAGCCATAGGCCTCCAAAGCCTCAGGGTGCATGGCCCAAGACTGCCAAAGAAAACTGAACCAGGGCTCTTGGCTGATAAACTACATTCTAACCATTAGGGCCCCCTCAGGCACCTCAGAATATATAATGCGAGCTGACCAATAGGGCTCCAGGGTCCCTGGGACCCACAGCGTATAGAGCATGAGCTGGCCACTAGGGCTCCAGGGCCCCTCAGTATATACAACATGAGCTGACCACTAGTGCCCCAGGGCCCTGCATACAATATGAGCTGATCACTAGGCCTTCTGTATCCCTCAGAATATACAGTGTGAGCTGAACAATAGGTCTCCTAGAGCCCTGGGCCCTTCTGCCTTTACACCGTGAGCTGACCACTAGGGCTCCAGAGCCCCTTAGTGTATCCAGCATGAGCTGACCACTAGAGCTCCCGGGGTCTGGGGCCCATTTGCTTAAACAGTGTGAGCTGACCACTAGAGCTCCCGGGGTCTGGGGCCCATTTGCTTAAACAGTGTGAGCTGACCACTAGAGCTCCAGGACCACGGGGCCCCTCAGAATATATAATGTGAGCTAACTACTAGGGCACCTGGGGCCCTGAACCCATCTGCATATACAGACCTCTAGGGCTTCTGGACCCCTCAGAATATAGAGTGTGTGCTGACCAATAGAGATCAAGCGCACATGGGCACTTCTGCCTTTACAATGTGAGCTGATCACTCGAGTTGATAAGTGTATAAAGCGTGAGATGACCACTTGGGTTCCAGGGCCACTAATGCCCTCAGCATATACAGCTGTTCCAGGCAATGTTCCCTCTAATTTGTATTCTGGCTGAGCAAAAATGTTCTCTATTGGGCAGACATATCGGCCACCTGAGCGAAAACATTCTTCATACCAGACCTGTACAGCGCGCACACAAAAAAAGTGTGTAACTTTTAACTTTAATGTGCTATTTGATTTGACCCTTGATGTAACTAAATGATGCACATTTTAGGATACCTGAGAAAACATTTTTTACAGTGCTGTGTTACTTACAAAGTAATTCTATTTTAAAATAATTATAAAAAAATCTCACACAGAACAGTTCAATTCTTTATAATAATAGAATAGAATAGAATAGAATTAGTTATCTATATATAGTTACATATATACCAAGTTCTGTCATGAAACTCTAGATGGCGCAGGCTGATGGGTCCTTAACGTAACTAATGATATTCTTAGCATTAAACGACTTGTCACAAGCTGATTAGTTCATGCTGCATCCACAGCCATTGAGCTTGCTGCTTTACATTTAAATGGCTGATTAGCATTTGCTTGAGCATTGCAGCGCACTTATAGAGTTCCTCTGAAACCCTCCACCTAACCCCAGCTCCACCTGTATAGATCTGCTACTGGTTATTTTATATGATATTTGTGCAGCAGCAATGTGTCTTAAATGCTTAAATACAGCACCATATCAGCTTATGTATTGGCAGTAGCAAGTTCCTGTACTTGCTTGCAGCAGCAATGAGCTACAAATACAGCAATAACCAACAGCAGCAGCAGTGTAGCAGATCTATTCCGCCAAGACCAAATACATTAAAATTGTCATATCCATTACCATGCTAAAATCTTCAGAGAATTCTCATGATAGAAATATAGTTACATAGTATATACGTATATAATAAATAGTTATCTAAAACATCCCATGCAGTAGAGTTTGCACACTACACCTGTGTGTAACTGTAAATGTCTCAGAATTGTGTTACCGTTCTGTGCTTATCCTCTATTTCCACCACTTAACATGATGATGTTTTATTTCACATGTCATTACATTTGCATTGACTCTTGTGTTGAGTTATTAAAGTATTCGATTTCTACAGCGACTCATTTGGCACACATCATTCTCTTTCTATGAAACCTGTAAACAGCATTAACCAGTTCTAAATCTATAGCAACGCCAACTCTATTGTGGTTTGGCCGAGCATTGCATTTATTTTGTAGTTACTAGAATTCAATCAAATGGCTTTCCAAACTCATGTTTGCGTATGTCCTGTGCAGCTGGGCACTTCTGCCTTTACAGTGTGAGCTAAAATTCCAGGGCCCCTGGGCCCCTCAATGTATACAATTTGAGCTGAATGCCAGGGCTCCTGCTCCTTAGAATATATAGTGTGATCTGACCAACAGGGCTACAGAGCCCCTGACCGTAAACAGCGCAAGCAGACAGTAGGGCTCTTGGGGCCCTGAGAATATACAGTGTGAGCTGATCAATAGGGCTCCATGTCCCCTGGGCTCCCTCAGTAAGTGCCCTGGGCCCTTCTGTGTAAACTGAGTGAACTGTGGAGATGGAAGCTGTCGTATGCTCAGGGGCCTCTTGGGACCATTATCCGGCCCTGACAAATGCCCATCACTTGGAGATAAGAGTGCTCTTTCAAGCTAGCCTGCAATCTCAGAAAGGTGTAGAGGTGGCATATGTCTTGGAAAACATGGCAAATGTGAGAAACAAACTAACTCAATCACCATCTGCTACAGAAGACCTCAGGGACAAGGGACACACAAATACACTCGCATTTCGACAAATGAGCTCCAACACAGGTACAAATCCAGGCTCACACAACCACAACAGTGACAAATACACATAGAACATCCTATGAGCAGGCACAATCCACAGAGGAGTACGTATACCCCGAGGCTTATGAAGGGGCGCGCAATTAAAATTGTCCACAAAAACACATGAATATCTCAAGAGCAAATCAGTCATATTAATGGGGAAATGTCTTTCACTTTGGGATGCATAGTTTCATACCACTTCAGTGAATGATTACTGCACAAGCTGTTTATAGGATTTTGTTAATTGTGCATCACATTGAAAACATTATTAGGCAAGATGGTAAATTAGAATAGTAATTGAACTCTTGATACTGAAAGCCCAGTAGACTGTGATTACCCTGCCCTCATTAAGAAATGCAACTTTCTAATGATACCAACATTTCTGAATGCATAACGAGTAATCACAAGCAGCATAAGCCTGGATTTACAGAAAAAAAAATGAAACAATTTAAAGAAGGAAAAGGACACTTCCTGATACAACGTCTAAGAAACATTTTGATTGGGTTTTCATTTTGCTGCCAGAATCCGATCCAACTTCAGTTTCCCTCAGTTCCTGACCAGTTCATGTCCTTGATTTTTCTATGACTTTTTATAAGAGAGTTTTATAACAATCACTTAAAAACAGTAATTTTTAGGCAAAGAAATAATGAAAATTACAGGAAACATTGATGTTGATGCACATTCCCATGGCTTTTCCACTATACCTTTTCAGATTGTATTGACAATTGAAACCCTGCAAAAAACTACTCAAAAGTCACAATTTGACGTTTGTGACTGAGCATGTATGAGATGACAATAAACGCACATCGCCAAATTACATCTGTGGATCATGCCATGACGTTTCAGATTGAAAAACTGACTTTAAATTGCATTAAATCTGTGTTGTAGTCAAAAACAGGTCAGAATGGCCTGCAACAGCACATAAGTGTTACGATACCAGATGTTACAGCTCAAATGACTGCTTTCCAGTAGCAAAGAATATTCTAAAAATGTCTATATTCCTTAGTAGTGCTTTCCTGCCAAAATTGACCCATTGAAATGTCATTTATGGCAGGAACTGAGAGGTTGTGTAGCATCTAGACTCTGACTCATGCTAAAAAAAATGATAACTGGCATTCAACAGCCACTATCTGCAACAAAATGCTCTAGCTCCTATAAATGATAACAGCTTTCTGCATGATCTGATACAGTGAAGAGGATACGTATCACTCAGTTTCAAAGACAGGTAAACTGTGTTGCTTGCGCAAATTTACCTTGCTCCTGTGAATAAAGTGCCATTTATCAGAGCGCTCACTAATAAAGACCTCATGTATCGCTCAACTTGACGTCAGAGTCAGAAATTAAATTTAGGTTTAGCGCCACAACAGATGTATGCTCAAATAATTATTTGTTCAAATCCCTCATGTAGTCCCAGTGTTAAGTAGCTAACCTCAAGCAGCAATGCTACTAACCTAACTTCATTTTTGAGTAGTGTGACAGCAGTTCAGGTTGACAAAATGTCACATTATATGGCATTAATTCAGAGCCATATTTCACATGCTGCTGTTGAGCAAGCAGAGGCATATAAGATAAATGCCACTGCTCTGAAGTAACTTTGCAAGAAAAAAAAAATAAAGATTCACTCGGATGGTTTTTTTTAGATACTGTTTTTTTAATCAATGTGCTTTTTCCATTATTATAAAATAAAATTACAGTACTTAAAAGTATAATATATATATTATCTCCAATAAGTAGCTGCAATTTAACTATTTTTGTTTGCAGCTTGACTTCATTCTGTAATAAACAGATTGTAGCTTAGCAAGCGACAGTAGTTTACAGTTCACTGATGAAAACAGAAATCTTTCCATTAACCTACTGTATAATAGCAATGCACAACGTGACAATTGCTTATTCTCATATGGATGTGGCGAACTAGAAACCCCAAGCGGTGCTTTATACTGCAACAGATGACGTACTAGCATGACTGTCAGGCTAAATTCAATTTCCAGTCGCAGCTGGGGCTGCTGGCCTGCTTTGCCCCTGACCAGTCTTGACATGTGTGCTGAGTTATGGGCTGAATCGACAAATCTTTCCATTAACCTACTGTATAATAGCAATGCACAACGTGACAATTGCTTATTCTCATATGGATGCGGCGAACTAGAAACCCCAAGCGGTGCTTTATACTGCAACAGATGACGTACTAGCATGACTGTCAGGCTAAATTCAATTTCCAGTCGCAGCTGGGGCTGCTGGCCTGCTTTGCCCCTGACCAGTCTTGACATGTGTGCTGAGTTATGGGCTGAATCGAGAAGCACAATTGATCTTTTTAGAGGTTGAGGTTACGGAGAAGCGTTACGTCTGCACACCTCCAAGTGAATATGCATTTGGATTGAAGGAAAAAGAAAAAAAGAAAGCATGTAAGAGCAAGAGAGAGGGAAAGAGTAAAGTCAGACTGACCAAAAAAGGTTGTTTGTGTGGTTGCTACATGGGATTTGTGACCAAGTTATTTTCTTTAATGAAAACAAGCAGTATATAATATATTTTTGTTAACTAAAATCAAAATAATATATAATAAATAAGAATAATTTCATTTATCATCCATTAATATGAGTGTGTGCTGCCCAGTTCAACAGGAACTGAGTGTCTGATTGACATGTACAACATGTATGTGATGTTTCAGGGAAAGTAAATCTGGAGGAGGGGAAGCAGACCAGCTGCTCCTGGAAAATGAATTTGACCTGACAGTCATGCTAGCATGTCATCAGTTGCGGCATAAAAAAACCTTCTGGGGGTTTGCTAGATACTAAGAAATAGTCACATTGTACATTTTAAAAGAAACCTGAGTCTCATTTAGTTGATTCAAATCCAGCCACTAGTTGTTCTCTGGTGCAGAGCTTAAAAAAAAAAAATACAAAATACAATAAAAAATACAAATTGCAATTAGAACATATAACTCAACAGTAATTTAATATGATCTGTTGTTGTAAATTGAAAAAAAAGCATAAAAAACAAAAACAAAAAAGCCAGGCAAAGCAAAAAACAAAACACAACACAAAACAAAATAACAAAAATAAAAAACCAAAACAGAATAAAACAAAATAACAAAAATAAAAAACAAAACAGAATAAAACAAAAATAAAAGCAAAACAAAAAACAGGCAAAACAAAACAATGCTAAAACTAAACTGAAATTGAAAAAAAATAAATAAATAAATAATCAATACTATAATAGCCCTGGACCCTGGTAAAATACATGCCGTTGTGTGATGATGGTTGTGTTTGTCTGCGATTGTGCCTGTGGAGGGTAGGTAGAGCTCTGGGGCTTAACGCTGGAGACGTGCCAGGCTGTTACTCACCGGTTGGGCTGGTGTAGCTGCCTCTTCAGTTAAACACACACACAGCTTTGAGTCTTTGCTGATGTTTTTTCTCTTCTTATCTTTGTTTTATTGTGCTTAGCCCTTTGAAGTCATGCCACACAGTACACATTCGCTCGTTGCACAACGCAGTCAGACCTATTCACAGTCACATCAGGCAGCGACCAATAGAGACTGTCAATGACACTCTAGTTTAATCATTAGAGACTTGATGCTACACTCAATATATCTTCAGTGACATTTTTCAGAAAAAAGATCAAGGCGACTGTGTTCTTGTGAAGCATGACGTTTGACTATCGGCGTAAAATCTCATGTGTTCTTATTGCTATTAAGCATCTGTGCATGGTGTGTGTACAAATGAAGAACTATGATTCCTTAAAGAAGAACTTTCATTCCTTAAAGGACTAGTTTGTTTCTAGAAATAGTTAGTTCCAGAAAATGTACTCACTATCACGCCATCCAAGATGAAAATGAGTTTGCTTCTTCATTGGAAGCAGGCCATCACTTGCTCACTAGCGTATCACCTGCAGTGAATGGGTGCCGTCAGGATGAGAGTCCAAACAGCTGATAAAAACATCACAATAATCCACAAGTAATCCACACAACTCCAGTACATCAGTTAACATCTTCTGAAGTGAAAAATTGCATGTTTTTTGTTGCACATTACTTGTGGATTATTGTGATGTTTTATCAGCTGTTTGAAATCTCATTCTGACGGCACCCATTCACTGCAGAGGATCCATTGGTGAGCAAGTGATGTAATGCTACATTTCTCCAAATATGTTGTGTTGAAGAAACAAACTCATCTACATCTTTGATGGCCGGAGGGTGAATAAATTGTCTGGTAATTTTCATTTTAGGGTGAACTATTCCTTGAATGAAATATCTCACTGATGAAGGAACACATATAATCAAGTCAACTCACCAGTGGGTCCAGGTCCTCAGCATGTACGGTGGTCACTATGGTCCCTTTGATTGCATTGGGTGCCACCATTCCCCGGTACAGCGTTTGACTGAACACTGGTGTGAAGTCGTTCATGTCCTGCCCAGACACAGAACATCAAACTCTGATTAGTGCCTTGACTCCTGCTCGCTTCGCCTGCCTCTACTGTTTTGCAACTGTTAGACTGTGCACTAGCTCAGGCCCCATTAGCTAGCCTCGAACACTAAAACACTAAGCAACAATGGCATTTATTCAATAGTAGATCATGCAGTGCATTAAGGATGTGTCACAGTGCTAGATGCCCGGGGACTTTTGGGGGAAAAAGTTGGGTGAGACATAATTATAGCCACTGAGAGAGCACTAAAGGCAGATGAAAAGGTTACTAGAGAGAATAAAGAGGCAAAGCTGAAAAAGGGGTGCTAATATATTGCAATAGAGTGCTTCTGGAGCTAAAAAAAATTACAAAAAATTGTTTTTAATAATGACATTTCAAGATAGACATACCCATGCCCTCAGAAGTTTGAAAACAGTGGTACATCTGAGAATGTACCAAACTTATTATTATTTTTTGGCTATTTTGACAATATTTTTGGTTGCAGAAATTTCAGTGCATTTCTATTACATTTTATTTATTAAAAAAAAAAAAGTTTAAAAATGTTTTGACCAATTTTTGTTTTGTCTATTGTCAATATTTCAGGATAGACAAAAAGTGATACATGCTTCTCAATGTGATTTCAACTTCATTAAAAATTGTTTAATGGCAAATTTCCAGTGAGGAACTATATTACCCAGAATTCTAAACAGATATCCACCAATGAGAGAAGTCGCTGTTCTAGAAATAACAATCACTGCGAAAAAGCTCAGCAGCAACCATCCATTCCCATAAAACTTCACAAATGATGGAATCAAGTCTTACAACACTCTGAAATAGCTAATACAGTATATTTGTACGTATTTCAAAATGTTGGTGTAACATAAAAATCTATTGTTTTTATATTGTATTTTCTTGACTATAAGTGAATAGTTTGATATAATACCACCATTTCATACAATGGACTCAAAATTACAGTATTGATACAATCCATCATCATGATGCTAAAGGTATTTGCTTCTGCGAAGCTTCATTAACTCATTACTAATGCTTACTTTAGTAAATAATAATAATAATAATAATAATGAAACAAATAAATGTCTGTAATGTTGTAGATCTGTTTGGATCATGGTTTATAACTTTTTATACACTCATTTTTTATTTTAACCTCTATGGAGAAACTTCCGGATACAAGGCTGCTGTAAAAGTGGTTTCTTACTTTGTGGAGGACCTTAACTTTTTTCCCACAAAGATGTATATGTGAAAGATACGGCAAAGCGGAAAAGTGCGGTTGGCTCCCATGAATGCTGATGACACAGGTGATTCTGGGAGATGGAAGAGACGCAATGTGACCTAATACACTCAATAGAGCAGCCACCTCTGAGTCCAAGGAGAGGCCAGCGGGTTCAGGTATCCAAATTACACCTCCCTCCCCTGTCAATCCACCACCCTTCATCCTTCCTGTAAGAATGCGCTTATTCAAGGATGTCCTTGAGTCCTGAGTACCGACTAATAAAACTTTGCTATTGCTCACATCCCCAAAATAAAAGGGCCTGAGAAAGTACTTTGTAGTGAAATTGTTTTTTTCTCTCTTATTTTCTAATCCCACACATCTATGTGTGTCTTCTCCCTCTCCAGATGAAAATTAGCCGTCAAGCCTTAAAGTAAATCTGCAAAGTGTAGTGAGTTCACAAAGGTGCTCTTAGTCGCACTGGGACCGTTTTCTCCAATAGGATGGTGCCTTGGTGCCTCTATCCCATCATAATCACTCCTCGTTTCCATGCATCAGGTAGCACATTAATTTCCACCGTTCACGTTTTCATTTTCCACAGCAACTAATTATCAATTAGCCACACCATGCACAGAAGGAAAATTAATAAATAATCCCAACACAGAAACAATTAGGGGTTCTTGGGAGACTGTAGAGGACGTATTAAGCTTTGTTTCTCCTTACATGAAAATGCTTTTACTTAAACTCTTTTTCTCTGAAGCTGAAACCTATCAAACTGCAGGCTGTTCGGGAAATGAAATAAACTTAAAAAAAATAAATGTAATCCTAAACAACTGGTTACATGTCTAACAGTGTCCTGGCTCTCTTGTCGAAGCTTGACCAAAGAAGAATACAACATTTATATGAACAAGGGAAGCTAAAGGATCTCATTTAGGAGTTCAAATAGGGTGATAGTGTTTGAACTGATACAGTTACACTAAATGCAACTAATAAAACTATTTATAACCATTTCTATAACTATTCATTTATTTAACCATTTTTATAACTAAGTTAAACACTGTGATTAACAGTCGCAAACTAAACTATAAACTATACATTTTACTTCCATTCACTAAAATGTATCAGACCTATGTGTATATGAGAGAGAAGACAATTAAGGAGAGAACATTTGAATATTTGCATCAGGTACCTTTGCTGTAATGTAGTGTTTGCAACAGATTGGGACTAAAAAAAACAACAACACGTTGACATGCTACACTACCTATAAAAATGTAATCTGTAGTCTTACTTGTCTGACGGTAATAAAATATTTTGTTTGTTTACTTTTGTTTTATTATTTTTTTTTACAAATATCATGCGTGAATTGATAGCTATATATTTTAGTGATGCACAGAAATCAATTTTTTTACTGAAACCAAAATGTATGTATTCATTTAACCAAGTCTGAAACCAAAAATAAAGTTTCATTAATCCATGCGACCAACTTCCGTTTTTTGCCCTTGCATGAAATTCCCATTCTCATGGATTCTGCTTGTGAAAATTTGTTGAACAGTGGTAAATGTGATGCCACATTTACAGCTTATGATAGTATAAAGACATTAAATTACTTTGAATGCTGAAATATGTTCTTAAAACTACATAAAAGACGAAAATAGTCACCCATTCTAATAATTGGTTTGCAGATCCCACAAACAAACAACAGCAGCATTAAACTGGAAAATGGTCCCCCCCCCCCCCAAACGATCTCTTTTACCCACTTCCATTTCCAGTGCGAGCTAATTGACATTCATCCAGTGCAGGGGTGGCGAACGTCGGTCCTGGAGAGCCGCAGCCCCTGCAGAGTTTTGCTTCAACCCTAATCAAACACACCTGAACACGCTAATCAAGGTCTGAAGGGTTACTAGAAAGCTACAGGCAGGTGAGTTTTAATTAGGGTTGGAGCTGTACTCTGCAGGGCTGCAGCTCTCCAGGACCGGAGTTCGCCACCGCTGATCCAGTGTGTGGAACTTAATCTTCTAAGACCTTACAAATCAGCTGGTTACACAACAGAGGTCTTGTGGACCTAATGACCATTTCAAACATAATACAGACTCTAGCTGTCAATGTCCACAGGGCTTAAGAGCGGCTGCTGAGAAATCACAGGACAGCAACACTTTTGGGATATCCCTTACTGAAAAGACCAGCTTAGACCAGTATGAATCTCCGTGCTAGCCGGGTTAGTATATAATAGCTGTCTGGGTACATTATCAAGAAGGCAGTCGACTAAAAATACTTGATTTTAAGGAGTTTGGTTGGAATTGAAGAACATAATTGAGACTCTCTTACCAATACAGTGACAGAAACAGAGGCCAACCCCGGTGGCATTTTGCCGCTTCCGCCATCCACAGCCTCCACCACGAAGGTCCATGTTGTCCCGTTCGGTAAGAGTTTCTCGAAATCAAGTGAGTGAAGCACCTTCAGCTCACCGGTGAGAGGGTTCACTGCAAACTGCTCTCTGGCCTCCTTGGTCCTGATACGGTACGTGACGTTGGCATCCAAATCAGGATCCAGTGCCTGTGTGAGACATTAGGCCCAAAACACTTTGGATGAGTAATTCTAATCTCGGCATTAATTAAACCCTTAAACCTTTTCTGAATAAACCAAATGACCGGGTTACATTAATGATTGAAACGAATCCTGTAGTGACCCGGAAGCGATGAGTAAATTAAAAAGATATTTCACTGGCAGCAAGGCACTGAGCTGTGGGAACTCACAAATTAACCATTATGGCAAACTAAACAACATCCCGAGAGGACACAGGCTTTTGGACGGTTCTGTAAGGCTGTGCAGTGTAGCTCCTGAGGATAAAATTGTGTCTGGTCTTGTAATGCAGCGGTTCCGTTTTATCCTAAACAGATTAAGGTGAATCTAGCAACATTTTATTAAGTTGGTTGCTGTACATATTGTGGCAGTTCACCAATGAAACATCCATTTAGTGGATGAATGCTCTATTGCATTTGAAAATAACGTACCACATACACTAAACCCTAACAGATAGTTTTAACAAAAGCAAATGTGAGATACAAATGCATTTATTGAAGCAATCATGGTATTTTAGTTTGTTTCTACAAGTCTTCTATCTCTTTCGTGTTCGACAGGACTTGTATGTGAGTGGTCCACATTGCAAGTGTAATGGTGTACCAGGTGAGCGACTGAGCAAGTTTACATTAGAAAAGTCATATGTATAGAGATTATGAGAAACAAATGTCAAAATGTATTAGTTTACAAATCATGTGCTTTGGTAAAAGTGTTTTGAGGTCACAGTATTGTGCAAGGAACCACATGAAAAATAAGTATTTTAATCGATTGTATTTTCTAGGTGTGCTCCGATCAGGGTTTTTGAGGCCGATCACGATCACAGAAAGCAGTATCTGCCGATACCGATCACCGATACCGATCTTTTTAAAGCCTTCTTTTTATCATTTATAACAATTTATAGTGATACTCCAATCAGGATTTTTAGACATTTATTCAGGGCCTGAATTTCATTTTTGAAAATGGGGGGAATTCCCCTCTGGGTGACTCTTGTGAAAGGGGAAGCAGCTTTCACACAGGAGTCCGCTACTGATCCGTGGATGTTTACCACAAACACAATATTTATCCATTAATTTGATTTCAAATTGAAACTTTGTCACTGAAAATGCTTTTTCAGCATTGCAATTCTTTTTTTTTTACACAGTACAGTAATACACAGACATGTTTAAACACAATAAATATAAGCAACACATTATTCAATGCGTCTTACTTTTGCATTTACTTCTAGATTTATATATTAAGTTGCTCAAGCAAGTGTCAAAACATTTAAACTGCTTTTCTTACGTTATCATAAACTTACCATTGACAGAAATAGTCAGCTCTACTGCCTTTCCTTTTGCATTGAAATCTTTATTACAAGCAATCCTTCCCTTCATAAAGAACTTTGTTTTCCTACCTCCACGAGTGCCATCTATTATTGCCTTGTTCATCTAAAAGTGTTCTTTTCCTTTAAACCTAGCCAAAAAGCCATATGTGTTGACTGTGAAACACAGTAGACTTTAATAATATGCATTTATGGTGTAATTACTACATTTTCGTGTCAATCCATGTTCATATTTACTGCAAACAATGCGCTGTTACTTTAATTCAGGGCTTGCAGTGCAGCAAAAATAGACTCGGTCTGGAAACTATCACTGCACTGCTGCAGACTCACCGCTCATGGAAAGCACTGCCTGACTGCAACCGTCTGCAGTGTGCACGCTTTATTAATCCATTAACATATTAATCCGTTAACATGCGACATTTTGCGAGAGAAAGAGTGAGAGCGCGCGCAGTGATTCACTCCCGCTGTTTGTGAAATTACATCTCACACAAGGTTTTCAAATTACTTTACAAGTTATTTAATGAAGAAATATGAAGGTGAGTACCTCACCTTCAGCATTATAATTATTTTACCCGTGCCGGACAGAGACTGAGACGGTGCCGGTGCATGTCGTGCCAACCCTCTCAGGGCAGCGTCATCAGCTTGAGATCGGTTTTTTGAGATCTGCCTTTTTAGAGACCGCCGATCAAACATCCCAACGTGATTATCGGCCGATAGTGATTGGTAGCCGATCAATCGGAGCACCCTTAGTATTCTCGTGGAATTTCGCAAAAATGTAGGAAGTGGAACATTTTTTCAATGAGTCTGTTGATATAATCAGGAGAAGAAAACTATGGCTTGTTTTCAACACAATGTTGCAATTTATGGGCTGCAGCATTTAGAAACAGACAAACTCAAATTCAGCATGAGACTCACACGATTGACACTTTTCTCAAGCAGTGAAAAGCAACCTACGTTGAAAATGTAATAGGATATTAGCGAAACAGATTTAGTAAACGCTCCAGTGCATATTTGTGTTTGTGGTCTGGAGAACGTCAAAAGTTTCTATTTACAAGTTGTTTTTGTAGCATTGAGCAATGTAGCCAATCACAGACAGATCCGTTGATACTTGAACACCTCTGTTTGGCCATTCCGTTCAAATAAACACCGGATTTTGTTCCGCGCGCTCGCGAATCCTCTTTTTTTTTTTACACAGTACAGTAATACAATCTTTCACAGACATGTTTAAACAATAAACATAAGCAACACGTTATTCAATGCTTTTTACTTTTGCATTTACTTAAGATATATATATTAAGTTGCTCAAGCAAGTGTCAAAACATTTAAACTGCTTTTCTTACGTTATCATAAACTTACCATTGACAGAAATAGTCAGCTCTTTACTTACTGCCTTTCCTTTTTCATTGAAATCTTTATTACAAGCAATCCTGCAGTTCATAAAGAACTTTCCTACGTTTTCCTACCTCCACGAGTGCCATCTATTATTGCCTTGTTCATCTAAAAGTGTTCTTTTCCTTTAAACCTAGCCAAAAAGCCATATGTGTTGACTGTGAAACACAGTAGACTTTAATAATATGCATTTATGGTGTAATTACTACATTTTCGTGTCAATCCATGTTCATATTTACTGCAAACAATGCGCTGTTACTTTAATTCAGGGCTTGCAGTGCAGCAAAAATAGACTCGGTCTGGAAACTATCACTGCACTGCTGCAGACTCACCGCTCATGGAAAGCACTGCCTGACTGCAACCGTCTGCAGTGTGCACGCTTTATTAATCCGTTAACATGCGACATTTTGCGAGAGAAAGAGTGAGAGCGCGCGCAGTGATTCACTCCCGCTGTTTGTGAAATTACATCTCACACAAGGTTTTCAAATTACTTTACAAGTTATTTAATGAAGAAATATGAAGGTGAGTACCTCACCTTCAGCATTATAATTATTTTACCCGTGCCGGACAGAGACTGAGACGGTGCCGGTGCATGTCGTGCCAACCCTCTCAGGGCAGCGTCATCAGCTTGAGATCGGTTTTTTGAGATCTGCCTTTTTAGAGACCGCCGATCAAACATCCCAACGTGATTATCGGCCGATAGTGATTGGTAGCCGATCAATCGGAGCACCCTTAGTATTCTCGTGGAATTTCGCAAAAATGTAGGAAGTGGAACATTTTTTCAATGAGTCTGTTGATATAATCAGGAGAAGAAAACTATGGCTTGTTTTCAACACAATGTTGCAATTTATGGGCTGCAGCATTTAGAAACAGACAAACTCAAATTCAGCATGAGACTCACACGATTGACACTTTTCTCAAGCAGTGAAAAGCAACCTACGTTGAAAATGTAATAGGATATTAGCGAAACAGATTTAGTAAACGCTCCAGTGCATATTTGTGTTTGTGGTCTGGAGAACGTCAAAAGTTTCTATTTACAAGTTGTTTTTGTAGCATTGAGCAATGTAGCCAATCACAGACAGATCCGTTGATACTTGAACACCTCTGTTTGGCCATTCCGTTCAAATAAACACCGGATTTTGTTCCGCGCGCTCGCGAATCCTCTTACTGTAACACAATGTAAATAAGAGGTTCATTGCTTATGAAGGAAATTTGTGAGATTGCGATGAACTGAAGTGACACCTTTTTAGTGATTATAAAGGAAGTGCTATTTGTGCACTTTCTAGGCTAAATAAATATAATAAATATAAAATATGTTTTTCGTGCTAAGGGTTATATACTGCACAAGCAGCAAAGTTTCGGGAGTGACTGACATATCCCTCATCCTTAACATAAATGCAGGATTCATTTCAGAATGGGAGAAAAATATAATTTGTCAAAATAGATGTTCATTAAGCAATATTTCTTAATTGTGGTTGCAATCATTTACAAAAGTAATGGCTAGTAAATCTGGCAATTCTCTCACTATACAGTATATTGCTATTCTTGTTGTGGTAAAAGTTAATAGTTTTGTAGCACTGTAGCAGTTATTTTACATAATTTTATGATAGAAACGCAGTACCATCATGACGTTAACTACTAGGCATGTCCAGATGTCAGACCCCATACTCAATATATATATATAAAGAAACAAACTCATAGATGACTTGAGGGTAAGTCAAATATCCCTCATCCTTAACATAAATGCAGGATTCATTTCAGAATGGGAGAAAAATATAATTTGTCAAAATAGATGTTCATTAAGCAATATTTCTTAATTGTGGTTGCAATCATTTACAAAAGTAATGGCTAGTAAATCTGGCAATTCTCTCACTATACAGTATATTGCTATTCTTGTTGTGGTAAAAGTTAATAGTTTTGTAGCACTGTAGCAGTTATTTTACATAATTTTATGATAGAAACGCAGTACCATCATGACGTTAACTACTAGGCATGTCCAGATGTCAGACCCCATACTATATATATATATATATAAAGAAACAAACTCATAGATGACTTTTCAGTGAATTTTCATTTTTGGGTGAAGTATTCCATGAAACATTACTAAGTCAAAACATTTAAAAAAATGAAGCATATATACAAATAAATGTTATATTCACAATAAGATCTATAACATGCTTTTAGAAAAAAGATAGGGTTCATTTTCATTTCATGTCAACTGCATTCTTCAAAATGTAATACAAGCATTGTTCATTGTCAGTTCATGACAATGTATTAACTGATGTTAAGATTTAACAAAAAATATGTTTAAAGAGTGTCTTTTAAGCAGGTTACAAACATGTTATGGATTTTCGCTAAGGGTCTCTCAGTAAGTCAAGTTAACAAGCTACATATTCCAAATAAATTAACCAGCCAAGAACCCCTTTACAAATGTAAAACATGTCCAACTTGTCAAGTTAAGACAACATTAGCAAATAAATGCTTTCCAGAGGATAATTTCATGGAGTCATGTTTTTGATCTGGCTGTGTTTGATGTGTTGACTATGCATGTGGTATGTATACACATGCATACATGGCACGTGTGTAACTTACACTGATATTGAGGATGATCATGCCCACTGGGCTGTTTTCTGGCAGTGTGACCTGATACACAGGCTGGGAGAAGGCTGGGCTGTTGTCATCCATGTCCAGCACTTTGATGGAGAGTGTGACAGTGGTCCGGCGAGGGTCCCTGGCCCCATCCGAAGCCTGCACAACCAAATCATACTGAGCCCTTTCCTCACGGTCCAGAGGCACAGCTGTGAAGATGCTGCCATCAGTGCTGATCCTGAAGAGATCTCTGTGACTGACCAGTTGGTATCGGACCTGCCCATTAACGCCCAGGTCCAGATCAGTAGCCTGGATGAGGACACACACAAACATTTACATAGATATCTAAAAGAAGACATACATCACTTAGACACTCAATTACACTCATATGTGCTTGCTGGACATTTAATTTTAAAACTTACTTGAATTTTCCAAAAATGTCCCCAGTTGTTTTTGATTATTGGATTAGGACTCTTTCTTTCAGAGAAAATTATAAAGAGATTGTTGGGCGGATTTCCATTTGCATGTCATGTAATTTGCATGCAATTTTGAATTATTAGGTTTATACACACTTCTCTAAATCAGTGAACAAATGTCCTCAATGAGATCATTATGGACAAAATGCAAAAGTTCAGGTTCAGTACAATTTTGTTTTTATGTTTTTGAAAGAAGTCTCTTATGTTAACCACGGTTGTATTTATGTGATAAAATACAGTAAAAACAGTAAATATTGTGAAATATGATTACAATTTAAAATAAGTGTTTTCTATTTAAATATATATTGAATTGTGATTTATTCTTGCTGCTTAATATTTTTTGTGGGGACTGTGATACATTTCTTTGATAAATAGAAAGTTCCAAAGAACAGCATTTATTTGAAATATAAATCTTTTGTAATATTATAAGTTTAAATAAATGCGTCCTGTACAAAAGTTTTAACTTGACCCCAATATTTTGAACAGTAGTGTATTTTATATATATATATATATATATATATATATATATATTTTGTAAAGAAATGTTGGTAACACTTCAGGTTCAGTTTGGTAAAATTACTATCATGAACTACAATGAACAATTATTAATTGAACGTTAATATGTTAATTTCAACACATTAATATTTGTGTTAGATAAATTATCATTAGTTAATATCATGAACATATATCATTTAAATGTTTAATGCAACAAAGTTACATTAGTTAACATAAAAAACATGAATTAGTAATGAACAATAAAATATTAATAACAGATTGACAGATTTAAAAAAGCAGCAAAAATGTTAATTGTTAATACATGATACCTTCAATAACTAATGTCAACTTTTTTAATCAACATGAATTGAACCTTACTGTAAAGTGTTATCAAAATTCCCATGGCCTTGCCATTTCAATGTTAAAATCCCCCTTTTTTTTAGGTATTCATGACTGTGGGAACTCCCTGCCCCACACAGAGAGAAATAACCTGTCCATATGGCTGCGAAAACATAACGTTAGTTTATAATTTCAACACGTCACCACACAAAGTCACCGTACCACCCCTCCAAAGACACCTGCTTCATCAGCAGGGTGATGAGACAATCAACAAAAACACCAGCAAGATTTGTGACTCCCTGCAGTGGTGCAGACAGGTGCACTGTGTTGTTCTTTGACAATTTCATGTCAATTATCCCCACTCAGCTCACAGACATCAATAAAAAGTCTTACTAAATCTTAACGGTACAGAAATAGTTCACCCAGTAATGAAAATTACCATTGTTTATTCACCCTCATGTCATTCCAAACCCATATAACAAGCTTTTCAGCTTAAAAAAAAAAGTCCATACGACTCCTTTTTGTTATTTTGGAACTTGGCAGCTTGAGTCCTCATTCACTTTCATTGTAATGAAAAGAACATCTAGGAAGTTTCCTCAAAGTCTCTTCTTTTCTGATTCATGGAAGAATGTCTCACGATATAACCTGGGAATGACAAATGGACCATCAATAAAGTGTCTCTTCCCTTCTGTGGCCTCTCAAGTTTCTTCATTTAGACAGGCCTTAAATATCAGATTTAATGGCATCACGCAAACTCCCAGCTGTGTTATCTGCTTATTATCCGTTCAACACTTGTGCATGAAAGCACCTCATTGACACTCAGGCAAAGTGCGTTTGATTCTGATAAGCCCTGAAACAAAGCATTCCAAGACTGGCTGCTATACATTTTACAGACGTAGATAGAACTAACACTGTCCTTCGCCAAAGGGTCGGGACTAAACTCATTTACTACCGCCAAAGCTGAAACACCAAAGTCTTTCATTGTAATGAAAAGAACATCTAGGAAGTTTCCTCAAAGTCTCTTCTTTTCTGATTCATGGAATAATGTCTCACGATATAACCTGGGAATGACAAATGGACCATCAATAAAGTGTCTCTTCCCTTCTGTGGCCTCTCAAGTTTCTTCATTTAGACAGGCCTTAAATATCAGATTTAATGGCATCACGCAAACTCCCAGCTGTGTTATCTGCTTCTTATCCGTTCAACACTTGTGCATGAAAGCACCTCATTGACACTCAGGCAAAGTGCGTTTGATTCTGATAAGCCATGAAACAAAGCATTCCAAGACTGGCTGCTATACATTTTACAGACGTAGATAGAACTAACACTGTCCTTCGCCAAAGGGTCGGGACTAAACTCATTTACTACCGCCAAAGCTGAAACACCAAAGTCAATGGAAGAATCACTCTGACAACATGCCACAATTGTTTTGCTTCCTAATGCTTCCAAAGTCAGGCATCACGAAATGGAGAACATGAAAGCTTTGTCCTTAGTCAAGTCAATGACATCAAAATCCCATGTGACACATTAATGCACTTTTCTGTTCTTAATGCGAACGATTCCACAAAGTCTTTGTAATCTTTCATCAAAATGCACTGACTTGCGGCACTTCTAAAACAACTTTCTTTTCAACTGAGATCACAAATCGCTCTTACTTGATAGTCACTTTCTATCAACAATCTGACTCCATCTTTCACAATCCAATCAATTTTGATGTAGAAAATCAAAGGTTGCATTTACAAGACAACGACTGTAATAAAAACGTAAAAGTTTTCCTTTGCATTTTTTAAAAACTCTTTGCGTACAGATGACAACGTAGTCAAAATTTGAACGGCCAAAAAACATAAAAAGTTTTCAGTTTTTAGTTGAAAATTATGTCATGTAAAACCCCCCAATTCCCTTTTTTTCTAGTTGAATATACTGGAAAAAAAAGTATATGCAAGTAAGTGGTTTGTGAAAGGGGTTTCACATTGACTTTACAAATGATGATTGCATTATCAGGCAAATAATGGCAGAAAGACAAGTTCTCACTCTGTTTTCTAATTAGCAGTCATGCTTCACACTAATTTGTAGCGCCTCTGATAACAACAATTGCCCACTTATTTGTCTCACTTCTGCTTTGAGTTGAAATCATTATGAGGCGTATTGACGGAATACAGACAAGTACATCAAAGAGAAGGCCCGGCAAAACATTAAGGTGTCTGCTTTTGCCCACATCAAAATGGCAAGTACACGAGTTCATAAAAAACGTTCAGATGAAAAACAAGCACAAGAATATGGACAGCATGTCAACCAACGAGTTCTCCAACTGCAGACAATGAGACGAGACTCTCTGACCTAAACTTAACCGACTTCAAACAAGTTAAAATTTCCCATGCTGTGGCGCATTTGGAGTCATTTGATATGAGCACGCCGGCCAGGTGTAATATCAGCAGCGATGCAGGCTCTGCTGTGATAGCGCTGATAGAGCTCTGTGGGTATTTCTCTAATGATATGGAAACCTCTGCTGCTCCACGTTAGCCGTAGGGGATGTTTAGCTAGCATTAATCTTTGGACCATATCCAATGTGCCTCTCGCTGGGAGACGTGTCAGGAGCTCCAAATGAATTCAGGACAAGTGAGGGTTTGTAAATGAAGCTTGTCGTACTGCAGCGCTCACACAAATATCATCTTGTCAAGAGGTGAACAATTAGCAAAAGCACTGGCATTGTAACATGATGTTATATACATACAAGTGTAGGGATTTTGCTATACTGCAGTATACATATTTGTGCTAATGGAAGTGAGCAGGACTTACGTGTGAGAAGCGGAGTAAAACATGGAGCGGATGTGTCGTGTAGTTGTGAAAGTCAGTTCAGAGTCTATACAGAATGTGAAGCAATAAAAAGATTCTGTCTTTATTTTAGTTATTTTGCAGGCTGCATGCAAAAACAAACACGAGCAGTGTAGTCTGATTCACAAACAAATGGCTCTATTGAGCTGATTATTTTCAAAGAGTCAAACTTACAGCTTAATCACAGTTCAATTCATAAAAATAACCATGACTCAAACGAGTTGCTTTTAGTGAATCAAAAATATACAGAGGAAAAAGTGCTACTGTACCCGATTCCTGAAACAAAAGACTCTTAAGAGCCATATTTGTACTGAATATTTCCAAAAGACAAGTTGCACGTTTGAATCAGTTAAAACATGGTTTTGTATAATCATTAGCATTAGCAAATAAAAATGTCTCTCATGAGCAGATTATTTTTTAAAGAATCAGTCAGTGCAATTCAAAGCCACTCAAGCATTTTTTTTCTTTATCCAATGTTCAGATTTTTGTTTTGGAAATATATGCAAAGTAGATGCAAATTAGTGCAGAAATCCTGTCATTTCAAAAGGAACCCATGTAAAAGATTACATTTGCCAAAGTTTCACTAATGTGACTACACTTCAGACTGCAGAGTGATCCACAAATTTCCACAGAACTGCAATGTAGCTATTCAGACAGCCGTACACATCTCCTGCCTCTTGCATTTGTTAATTATTTTAGTTAATTTGATTATGCCTTCAGGTTCTCAGTTTAGTATTCTCAGCTCTAACGCTTTTCACACACTCCAAACTCTTCTGACATCATATAATAGCTTAGATAATGATTGTTAGTAAATAACAACATCAATTATCATCTGTTTCTAATAAATAAATAAATAATCTGATAAATAAAAAATCAGACACCGAATATAGTGCACAATTTTACTTTTATGGATCTTTTATGATGCTTTTGCATCTTTTCTGAAACTTAAAAGAATTATAACAAATTCAATTTAATTAATTAAATTTTTTTTCCACATAAAAAGTCACGTGTGCGGTGGCCGAGAGAGCTCAACGCGCTGCAAATGAAAAAAAACACATGCAAATTAAGAACACATCTTCATCGATTTGACAAATTCTCACAACACAACCAAATACAGGAATGCACTGCAAAGACAGAAACACGCTGTAAATTCTCACAACACAAACAAATACAGAAAAGTGCTGCAAATTCTCACAACACAAACAAATACAGAAAAGCGCTGCAAATTCTCACAACAAACAATTACAGAAACGCGCTACGCGCTACAAATTCTCACAACACAAACAAATACAGAAACGCGCTACAAATTCTCACAACACAAACAAATACAGAAACGCGCTGCAAATTCTCAGAACACAAACAAATACAGAAACGCGCTGCAAATTCTCACAACACAAACAAATACAGAAACGCGCTGCAAATTCTCACAACATAAACAAAGAAACGAGCTTCCCTTAAACATTTCTGATGTGGTCTGTGCATATTTGCAGAGCGTTTCTGTTTTTATTTTGTTTGTTTTTTTATTTTCAGTTTCTTTGTTTATGTTGAGAGAATTTGCAGCGTGTTTCTGTATTTGGTTGTGTTGTGAGAATTTGCAGCACGTGTGTTGTCAAATTGATGAAGATGTTTTCTTAATTTGCAGGTGTTTTTTTCTATTTGCATGTGTTTTTTTCATTTGCAGCGCATTGAGCTCTCTCGGCCACTGTACATGTGGGTTTGCTAGCGACATGAGGGTGGAAAAATGACTTGGATGAATGACTCCTTTAAATCAACAATAAGTGATCAGAGATCAGAAAAGTGTAACCACAAAGTTACACTCTTAAACTCTGAAGTGTAAACTTCATGATTTCCATCTGAGGTGACTCCAGAGGGCAGAAAGCAGCTGCAGAGCAAACAGTTTAGAGATCAAACAGCGAGGAGAACAAGTAGAAAGAATTTTGAATGTGGTTACGGTCTTACCTTTACTTGACCCACAAAAGCATTCGCCTCTCCCTCTTGAACTGTGAGATTAAGGAGCAGCAGAGGATCAAACTCAGGGTCATTATCATTGACATCAGTCACCACTATATTCACCGTAGCAGTCGAGGTCTGAAAACAAGAAAGCGTCAGGTTACTTCAATCGTTACATGGACATTTCTAAATAAAAAAACTTTCCCCAGTTTCAGTCAGAAATCTAACAACGTCAATAAATCTGAAATGCAAACCTTGAGGCCTCTGTGTGATTGTGTCTGAAAACTGACTGTCTTGGCTTTCACAAACAATTATCCATTTCCACAGAACTTGCGTAATTGCTAACATATTTGCATTCATCATCAAGCTATGAATGGGGTCTAATGAAAAATATTCACAGCTGTTGAGCAGATTAGCATTTGAGAGTATAGATCGCCTCAACAAATTGATGGCTGCAACCAAATTAGCATGCTGGTAGGAAGAATTCCGTCTACTCACTAACAACAATTATCCATCTACAGTTCCAATAATTCACAAAGTGTCTCATTTTGAAAGATGAAGAATGGAAACATAACATCTAAACAGTCAAACATACACAGCAAACATATAATTAGCATACATCTACTGTTACACATTTATTATGCAAATATAGTCCCCTGATTATTTCAGGAGAACACTACAAATGGGTGAATCTAAGTAAAACTGCCATGAAAACATAATGTTTTAGTACTATATATACTGTATATATGAAGAGTTAATTTGCAAAAACCAATAAACGCCACTTAAAAAAAATAATGATTTTTAATTTTTTATGCCGTGCATTATTCTCCACATATAGTGCGATCTGAACCCTAAACACGTTTTGTCAAAAAAGGCGGTTTTGTCCACTTTCAAGGCATCTTGAGTTCACGTTTTACTGCAGAAGCCGACAAGCACCCTTGTTGTTTTTGAACAGAAGCCGATAAGCCCATTTTAGCGAATCAGCGCGCTGTATTCAGGTCAGGTGACAAGGCTACTTTCACTTTGAAAAGACGTGCTAGCTGAGAGGAGTTTCATCAAAGCTGACTAAAAGTGTTCGAGGATGGATAATTTCGACGAACTTGATGAACCTGTGATATCTTCAGGGCGAAAAAGGAAAATAAAAGCTGAAACGTTTTCACGGAACACTGCAAAAGCAGCGCGTTACAATGGTGAGGGAAAAGCTCAGTGTATTGCGTGTAATCACATCCATACAATTTATGATCACAACAACAACAACAATGTTTGTCAGTCATCTGTCATCTGAGGAGATTACAAAGATTAAACAAGTTTTTTTTAAACTCTAAAACATGAAATGTGGAGTTATCTGCTTTTGCCAAAAAACGACTGTTGATTAGAGAAATGAAAGAATGATTTAATAAAAAATGAGAATGATTAATAATTGTCTCTACATGGCCTGATTAGCTAAGCCCTCCATTAAAACACTTCTTATTCAGTGGTACAGTATTGCATGATTTGTAGATTATATTTAATAGTTTACACTTTGCATACATATTTGCAATTAGTTTGTAAAAGGTTACATTTCATTCTTCAGGACTCTAAGCTTACGTTACTTAAAAAAAAAAAGAATTAGGAACACAGTCAAAAATTTAGGAGCACCAAATTAACCTTCCCATATGAGGCCATATTTCACTCCTTAAAGTGAGTTGCTGGGGCACCGATCATATAGGCCTATTATAATTTTAAAAAATACAGTAATTATTTAATGTCTTAATTTGTCATGTAAATAATTCTATATTGCATATGTTAAAAAGTTATTTTTTTATTATGAAGTTCATAATATAGTTTTAGAATTATAATTAAAAATGTCAATAATAACTAATCATTTAATATTTCAATATATTATATACAGCAATAATTTGATGACTTAAATTGTCATGTTTATCCAAAATATCCCAAGGGTTGTAAAATCGCTTTCATTCGATTTATGCTAAAGATAATTACTAAATTCTTTCTTTGGATTTTGGGGTTAAATTATCAAAAAAGAATTCATTACATTTATATAAAGTGACGTGACGTGGCCATGTATGGTGACCCATACTTGGAATTAGTGCTCTGCATTTAACCCATCCAAAGTGCACACACACAGCAGTGAACACACACCCGGAGCAGTGGGCAGACATTTATGCTACTGACCAGGCTCAGCCCTGCTTAGCTTCAGTGGGTAACCAGTCTTGGGCTACAGTGTGATATGGCTGCTGGCCAGATTAAATAAAACACAATAGGTAATGTTACTGAAAAAAAAACTGCCCAATTGGGTTTACATATGCAGCAATATCCTATTTTATGTTATGCTCAAGGCATATTACTTTTTCTGTCTTCTTTCTCACTCTCGAAAAAACTGCATAAATAAATAAATATATAAATAGCGCTCTAAACTCCACCTTGAGAACTTATGACCACTTATGTCTTGTCTTCACACAAGTTATTTACAGGAGACTTCAAATACACATACACATAATATGACTTTACCATTTTCTGTGTACAAATGTGTTTTTGGAGGTCAGGTTAGGTAGTGCAACTTCAGCTAGATTCGAAGCACCAGTCAATTCAAAATAGAGCTACACAGTCTACAGGGTAAAAGTTGTTACTGAGAACATTTCATACAAATGATTACTTCTCCTCCTACCAGGTCTTCAGATGCTCTTTCCAGACTGCACAAATGACAATTACATAACAAATCATACTAAACAAATACTATTGCAAAGAATGATCTGACAAGTGAACAAACAATTGAGTAAATGAATAAACAAATTAATAAACAAGTGAGCGTGTCAGGCCTTTTAGATGTTCTCATCAGGTTGCACAAAAAAACAAGAAAATGAAAAAAAAAAAAGCAAGTCAGGGAAACATATTAGCAGTGTATCAGCATGATCTATCACTAAAAACACACTTATCATTGTGAAATGTTTTGATTGAAATGTGTATTTGTGCTATATTTCTTTCAAATAAATGTCACTTGGTTTGATATGTTATATAATTCAAAAATAAAAATAAAATAAAATAAAATAATTGGGGACATTGGATATACAAACAAGCAGCCTGAGGTACTCCATCACTAGAAATAAATCATTCAAACATTTAGAAGTCAAGCAATCCAAATCCTCGCATACTAAAAACCAACTGAAAACCAGGAATCCAGGAAGTGAGGGTGTCCTCACAATATAGTTGCTTAGCCTCTTATCAGATCATTCTGCATCCATGTCAAGTCAATTTTGTTACTTCCCCTGAAACATAAAACATTGGGGCGAAATATCCCAGAACAGCCAGTGAGGAAACCAATATTCCATAAATTAGCAGATGTTTTTTTCCCCTTCGGCTCGGACTTATCTATTAAAGGTTTAAATGCTGGAGTAGTTGGCAGATTGGTCCTGTAAATTTTTCATGTGCCGGCAATAAAGCCTGCTGAGTTTGCACTACACTCTGGGGTTAGAATAAGGTAAGCTGATCTTGAGCGGAGACAAATGCAAACAAGGTAATTCAGTTTGTCAACAAATAGGTTCGCATCTTGTGATTAGCAACAGGAAGGATACCATTAATCTTTAAGCGAGAAAGACAATATTGCAACTTAATTGCTAAACCTGGGTATTTCCGTAATAAAATGGTATAAAATGTATTCTAGTTAGAACACTCGTTCCCAGTGGCTTAGATTTGAAATGTTAACAATTCTCACCATTCACACCACCAGTGATTTGGAACAACAAAACAACCTGAAATCATTTATTTTAATGAAGCTGGCAATTTACGGCAACATGAGCATCATGATTTGATTGTGTCTGTGGCATGACAAGTTTAACTTTAGCAACATCATCTAGTGACCAATTGTTACAGCAACTGGCAACATGCAGCGGGAAAAAAATGACTGGTGGTCTGAACTAGTGGTCAACCAACATATATCGCCATGGCTGATATATCAGCCAATATTTTGTATTTTCTACAGAGTTTTTCTGTTTGGTCTTATAAGTGTTGTCAGGAGGACTTTTATTTTGACAGCACTGAGAGACAAGCCCTTGAGCGGTGACGCACATGAACGCTCATTTTGCTTCTGCATTAGTGCATTAGTTATGCACTGCGTCCGAAATCAAATACTTCCCTACTACATAGCATGCGAAAAACAGCATGAAAACAGTAGTATGTCCGAATTCATATTATTCGAAAGTCAGTAGGCAAAATGTACCCAGATGACCTACTACTTCTGTCGGGATTCTGAAGTGTGCATTCAATGGTCACTTTACTATCCCATGAGGTCATGGGAGAGGATTTATAAATGGCAGTGAAGCGATGCGACAGTAACAACGTGGCGAATGTAGTGCAGCCTCATTGACATATGTAGCAGATAAATGTGACCTCCGGAGGGCACAACATTCGATAGAAGACACCGCTTAGCAGTTCGGTCTAATAATAGAATAGCAAATGCTATTCAATCCAGCTGAAAAGTGCATTGTATCCTGTATAAAACGCATGTACTGTGTGTTTGATGGTCTGTCCTTATGAAAAATGCAAGTTATGTAAATCAGCTTTATATAAGCCATCAGCCACCCTGCTTGCAGCCATCTAAAAACCTTGGTCGGTCAGATGGATGGATTGAGATTGAAAGGGAGCTAATACTGAACTGTGCCCATTCCAGCAATGTGAACAAGACTTAGTGTTAGACAGTGCTAGACATAGACTACAGGCGTCTGGCTGTATCTGTTCCTCTATCCACAGATTGGGGATGAAGAAATCTCTCTTGTGGACTTTGTAAATCTGGCTGGCTCTCACATCGCCCTGTGCAATGCAAGAAGCGGCCCAAGTGACCTCAGCGGGCACAGAGGTCAACTCTGAGTGTCGCCCAGGGCCCTTAGAAAGGGACCTACTTTTCCAGGAAAAGGACTGTTTATTAAATTGGCTAATGACCAGGTGGTTTAGTAAAGGTCACTGAATTTTAAAAACCTTAAACCACACCTGCTCCCCCAGCCTTACGTCTCAACTTGATTTTTAGCCGCAAGTGAATAAGAAAGGTCACAGAGGGACACTTGCAGGTAAATGGGAAGATGGGAATGAAACCTGCTCCACTGTTTTCTCATTTTACTTTCATGAGCTAAGCACCTAGGGGACGTCTTTCTCAACAGGCCAGGAAAGAGGAGAGATCACGGCTCTGAGAATTCTGCCAATTAAGATGTGCTTTGAATTATTGCAGGGGTTATTAAAGCATTGGAATCGCCATCATTTGTTTGTAAAGCCTACGCTAACGTGACCGTAAAGTCACAGACTTTCGACTCTGATGCAACATAACTTCACCACCTGACAACCACCTTGACAGTCCGGATATAAATAGACACCATTGTGCTTAAAGCTGGATCTTTATGCACTTTCTTCCTGAAGAAGGCAAGTGATTATCCTTGAGTTTGGAGGTGAACACATTACATGTCCTTGAAGTGGGTTGTACATCCAGGCATCTCTTTTATCGAGGAATACTTAGTGAGATTTTCTCCAGTAAGGGAAATAGGCTCAATGAGAGAGTGAAGCGGAAGGTGCTTCATAATTAAAAAGCCTGTTCGGCTCGTTTATCTCCATCATTACGGTATAATCACTCCATTGTAAGATGCACCTCATTTTCCTCTATTTAGATCAATCACATTAGGGCCTTTCGCACCACTTTAGTTCCAGAACTAATTGTCCCAGTACTAAAGTACTGAGACGATTTTGCGCGAACTATTTCCCAGTACCATTTAAATGGTTGCATTCGCACTGAGAGTGTGTACTAAGAAGTGACGTAAGCCTAGGGTGACCATACGTGCCATTTTCCCAGGACGCGTCTATATTGTGGTTCTATATTGCCTAAAATATCTAGGTTTTGGCTTTGTTTGCGTGTGCAGACCGATTTATGTATGACATCAAAATACCATACAGACGGTTCCTTATGCTTTCAAAATGCTCTCGAAATATTTTGATGTCATGCACCGATCGGTCTGCACACGCAAACAAAGCCAAAACCTAGATATTTTAGGCAATATAGAAATCCTGGCCAGGACACATCCTGGGAAAATGGCACGTATGTTCACCCTACGTAAGCCGGTCGACAGCGTCGTCATTTGTGTGCGACGTTCAACAACAGAAACAAAGAAGAACAACATTAACAACAGGAGGATGGAGGATGCTGTGATCGGAGCTGTTTTTGTTGTGTCTCACGGGTTTCACAATAATGGACATGGAAAGTTGACATATACGTAAAGTGATTGAAAGAATGGAAAGGAGGACTAAGAATCTCCAACGACAACTGGCAGTGCTACATTTGCTACAAGTGCCTGCACTTCAGCATCCGTCCATCTATCGCTGTTCTCCATACTTGCGAAATAAGTTGACACAATGTTTACAGTATGTTTGCACGGCGTTTTAAATCATGGCGGGTGAGGGCGTTTTCATACACGTTTGGCCAATCAGTGTCTACTTACGTCACGATTAGTACCAGTTGTGCTGGTTAGACCCTGCTCCGGAGTAGGAGCTAATTTGGTTCTCGAAAAAGGCAGTCCGGTATTAAAATCACACCCAGTTCGGAAAAAACGCCGGAAAAAGTGGGTAGTTCCACAATTAGTTCTGGTACTATGAAAAGGTTCCCGCGGTGCGAAAGGCCCTAATGAGCACTTTGTGAGAGTGGAGTGAACAGGAGAGACCAATCGCTGGTAACTGCTCGGAGACTTACCCCATCAAAGGAAACCAAACACTGCTGCAAACAAATGGACGAAGGAACGGACAAACAACAATCAGTGAGTGAAGGAATCATTTGTTTGATTGATGTGCATCATTGATTATTTGGTTGCATAAATGAATCAATATTAGGCTTCTCTTTACTTTGATTCTAATCCTTGTTCTTTCTTAAAATTCCATTTTCATAACTACATTTATATACAGTACTGTGTAATCAGCATGAAAACAAACAAAATAAATTGAACACTTGAAATGAATGAATAAACAAATAAACAGCAATCAGTTTGATTGACTGAAAGGCCTCTCTCATCTTTTTAAGTGGGAGAACTTGCACAATTGGTGGCTGACTAAATACTTTTTTTCCCCACTGTACTGTGTAATCAGCATGAAAACAAACAAAAGAAATTGAACACTTGAAATGAATGAATAAACAAATAAACAGCAATCAGTTTGATTGAGTGAATCAATGGAAGGCCTCTCTTTTCTTTTCATATAAACATAATAACATATATAAAATATGTATTCTTTAAAATTTTCACCATTATGAATATATAGTACTGTTATAGTAATACAAAAATGAACAATACAACAACTATAAAATGATTAATAAATGCCGTAAAACAAACTGTTCATTGTTCAAGATGTCTAATGCATTACTGCTAGTGAATTGAACATTATTTTGAGTGTTACTGAAAATATATTTATATTGTGGTTATGCTAACACTGCTGATCAATTGTTTGGAATAATTAAGATTTTTCAAAATGTTTTCTCGTATTCTCGCCAAGGCTGTATTTATTTGATGAACAATGCAGTAGAAACAGTAATATTGTGAAATATTATTGCTGTTTAAAATAATGTAATAATAGTTTTCTATTTGGATAAAAACGTAAAAAAATATTTTTTTTCTTTTGACCATGAAGACTGGAGTTGCCTGGAAAATTCAGCTTTACAGGAATAATTGCATTTTAAAATTCTATTTTTTTTTATTGAAATTTTATAAATTGCAAAAGTTTTTTTTTTTTATCAAATAAATGCAGCCTTGGTGAGCATAAAATATACTTTTTTCCAAAACATTAAAAAAATCATAATTATATTAAAAGTTTTGACCAGTTATGTATATATACAAATACATAAATCAAACAGAACAAATTGATTGATCAAACTGACTGATGAACAAACAACAATCAGCGAGTGAAAGATTAATTTGACTGTCTACCTGACTGACAGAATAAATTAATCATGAATGCAATCATTTATTTCTATTTGTCACCACTGTCTATATACAATTGTGTAAATACATTCATGCAGCCAGTAATACTGAACAGACCTGTGGGACTACAGATGACTATAAGATACTCCCAGCACACTTTATGACTGTTTTTAACTCTCATCTGCTCTTCCTTCCATCAGCATGATTGATTCTGCTAGACTCTGCCTGCCATGTTGTACTGTGTCTACATGTGATGTCTGTTTAAGCAGAAGATTCGATTACGATCTTTTGACCTGCAGCTTTTCGTCTTCAGTTGGGTGTGATTGATTGACAGGCTTCAGTCTTACCCCATCTGGTTTGCCATCGGAGGCCGTGACCGTTAGCGTGTAGTGATCCGTGATCTCTCTGTCCAGCGTCTTCGCCAACAACAACAGGCCAGACCTGAAAGCAAAGATGATGTTGAAAACCTGAGGATTATAAAGCCCAGAGGTCTGAGTGTTTAAACTTTACGGTGGCTTTAGAGAGCAAGCATGAGTGAAAGAGGGGGGAAAAAGTGTTAAAATTCACACAGTGTGCTGAGAAAACTAAACTGGAATATGTCATTCGCACAACAGGCCACAGCCAAAATCTAGACAAAGGGAATCATTTTCGGCTGAAATTAGCTCATCAAATATAGGCTGGATGGAATTATGTACTGCTGAATGAGATGGCTGGTCAATATATTCATTCTTTGTAAGACCTGTGCTACTGTGAAAGGTTGAGGATAGTTTACGTGTGCCTGGGGACGATTAGGACTGGATTAATTGTTGTCAGGCAGCAAAAGCCATGAGAAAAACACTGCCCAATTTAAATGATTTCTAGGACGTAGTGCATTTGGTAACACATATACATTTGTTTACATGCTAATGCAAGTTTAATTGAGAACTTGTGGAAAAGTGAGTGAGACACACACTAAACTGTGGGTCGTGAAAGTTGGAGGACTGTCTGCTGGCAGGGTTACTTTTAGAGTACAAATATGCTACATACATCAACAATACAAACTTTGAAAATTGAATGAATGAATGAATAAATAACACTAACATTATTAGTAACAGGTTATTAGTGCATTGAATGAAATATAATTGTTGGGAAGTACATGAGTGTGAAATAAATAAATACAAATAAAAACATAAAAAAATAAATACATACGAACAGATTTTGTCCATAAACCTACAGTTTTATTTTTGATTGTAAATTCAAGCTAAATGTTGAAATTGTATTTTGGTGTGACTGTTCTCATCATTAACATATTTTTTTCCCCCCTAAATAAACAATGTGCATAAAAAATAGAAATATTGAGTTGTACCTTTAAAATTAAGTAGAGAAACAAAGCTACCTATTTTGTTACCAATTATTGAAACCTGTGGAGGGACTAAAACAATTCATGTCAAACTTGATACTCTATTGGGGATCTTTGAAAAAAGAAAAAAAAAGAAAGTGATACAGATTTTTGGTCAAACCGCCTAGCACTAAAACAAACTATGTTTTATCTTTTGTTTACATTTTAAAGAATTAGCTACTGTGGATAAGATGCATAGTGTATAAGATAAATATAAATTCAATTTTATTGAGATTTATTGGAAGTTACCAAGATTGCATGCAATTTTATCACTTTTATACTTAAAAGTTAAATATAGACTTTTTCATGACTAAAACATTATAAAACCAGAGCTACTTTAATAGCACTCATTTTATTACACTTTTATGCCATCCAATTTGCTGTTATTCATGATTCAAGCATTTAATTGTTTTCCATAATTTGAATAATAACTGTGGTCCTGACTGACAGAAAAAGGTACACAAATAACTCTTTAAAATAAAATCCCATTTACTGCCCAGTTTCTGTGGTCAGTATTTTGATGTTAATTGAGATTTGTAGCAACAAAGTACTTCTATTACAGGCCTAATTTGTGCAGAAAAGATTACAAATAATTTGGTTTCAAAACAGCATAGCAATATTTCAGCACATTTTAACGCCTTCTTAAATGGATTGTGTGTGTTTAGTGAATAAGATAGAGCGCTGAAATACCACAATGCAAAAGTGCTGCAACTATTTAGTGAATTTGCCCTTTCATGTTTTCAAACAGCCAATCATTCTGCCTTGACACAATATGTCCCCTGAAAACCCCCCAGAGGATCTGTGAGACGGTTGGACACTGCTGCAGACAGTCATGCATTCTCCAACTGAAATAAACAAATTCAAAGTGGCATCTTCAAGGCTCCAGAGGGCCTTATGTATATTCATCATGCATTCATTGCAAAGCATCGTCTGTACATGTCTAAGAGCATGCATGCACCCTAAATTACTCCCCTACTGAACAGCATCAATTGTAATGATAATCAGAGAATACACAAGTTTATTATTGGTATTATAAGCAGCAGCTGCAAAGATAAACCAAACCAGATGAGCTGGTTATGAAAAAGCCATTTATATCTGGTGTTATTGAAAAGGAACAGGAGGGTATATATGTATTGCCATAAGACCTGAAATTTGTTGTGACTTTCACATGACCTCATCACAATTTTAAAGGGGTCACGTCATTGAATCAAATTTCCCTCAACCTTTTTATATTGTGAAACAACTGCAACTTTCAGAACTCAAATTTAGTAAAACTAAAGTCAAAAAATTTGGAATTTGCTCTCAAATTCATGTTGAAGTAAAATAAATATGATATATCGAAGATAAATTATGATATGAGTAAAATGTAGAAAAATGCTAAACATTTGCACTATTTCTGGCTGTGTGTAGCACCTACAACTCTGCATATCCTTCTGAGGATGTTACAAATTAGTGGATTAAGTTGAATTTTTAACAATGTCTATGATAATTTCAGTCATCTTGTTTATCTCATGAATAGTTTATTAAGTGTAATTCTTCAATGCAGATTGTTTTATGAATATATCACAACATAGTTCTGTTTTCCAAAAGCAGATCAGCAAACACGTGTTGATTAATTCAAAGGGTGAAAAAAATGGTAAATAAATAAATAAATGAGGTTAACACCAGCAAAGAAAATGTATTTATTTATATATTTATTCACTGACACAACCTGGTAATACGTTTCACGACGGACACAAAGGTCGAAGACCTGAACTATCATGCCTCATATAAGTTATCAGACATAGCTGGTTTCCAAAATAAAGCAGGAGAGTTGGCACTTTAACCTAAGCTAAGTTGAGCATATCTAAAATCCATTTAAACCTTTTACATTCCTTCTGCTTGAAAATCTATTACAGTCATTTTGAACTTTTCTCAATAATTCCACTTTAAAATTCGATTTCGCTTACTTTATGAAAGGATAAATCATGAAACACTATAATTCAAAAGTTTGGGGTTAGTAAGTATTGATTGATTGATTGAAATGAATACTTTATTCAGCAAGGATGCATTACATAGATGAAAAGTGACAGTAAGGACATTTATAATGTTACAAAAGATATATTTGAAATAAATACTGTTCTTTTGAACTTTCTATTTATCCAAGAATCCAGAACAACTTTTTGGGGACATTTTTGGAACTTGTTTTCAGCATTAACAACAATAAGAACCATTATGTTAAATTGAGCACCAATGATAATTAAAAATAAGTGAGCACCAAATCGCCAATCATTAGAATGGTTTCTAAAGGATCATGTGACACCGAATAGTAACGGCTGCTGAAAATTCAGCTTTACCATCACAGGAATACATTTTTCATGTGTTCAAATACAAGATATGTATTTTAAATTGTAACCATGCTTCACAATATTACTGTTTTTACTCCAAACAATTCCAAACTTTTGACAGATCATTCATACATTTAGAATTACGATATTAATATTAATGACACTCTCACACTCTCACACTCTCACTATTTAAACAATAATACCCTAATGAGAATAGCTCAACTAAAAGATAAAAAAACATTTTATATATATATATATATATATATATATATATATATATATATATATATATATATATATATATATATATAATGCTTCTTAATCTTAATGATATATTACTATAATTTATTATCTATATATAATTAATTTGAATATTTTAAAAATATTATTTTCATATTTATTTATTTTATTTTATTTTATTTCATTTATTTATTTATTTTGAACACTTTTGAAAGTCTAGCTAATAAATTGCTTAGGTTGTTTTTCGGATGTTTAGTGAAAACCAAACCTGGTACTGTCATTGTTTTATGACACATTGTGTCAAGGCACTCATCAGCGTGATTGAAGCAAATTAGATCGGGGAGTATTTTCACTTTGAAAATGTTCCAATATGATGAATTTGATGCCAGTGCTCTCATAAAACTTTAAAACAGAAAAATAAGAGATGAAAATAACTACCCTGTGCTCACAAGCTCAACTGCCATCTGTCCAACACATATAATAGCACACCTGCTGCCTTTGGCTTTCACCATAAACCTCTCCACCTCGATAAAGTGGATTTCAACCAAGTAGTGAAGAAGAACTTTGAATTTAGATTGATTTGTTGTGAATATTAGACACTTTTAAACTTGCAAAGTGAAACAATGCATTTCCTGAACTTTGCTTGGTCTCATTGTATTTCTGCTTCATTCATCTGTATTAATTCAGCAGTCAGCAAGAATTACAGAGGGCAGTGGCTGGTATGAATTGGACAGGAGGGGAGGTAGCAGCAATTAGAGTGAAAAGCCCTTAATTTCCGCTCTTCCAAGTGTCAGATGGACAAGAGCAGGGGCCAATATTGTGTTCTTGGGGATATTTCCGAAGCAAAATGTGTCACCATGTGGCATTGTATTGATCTTAAACTGGGCATGATAGGTTGAGTCTTCTGTTACAGAGTGAGAGACGCACTCATTTTCAACCCTCATTGGGTTTTTAGTTGATTTACCTTCTCTGGGACGCAGGGCCATTGTCAGAGGCCCTAATGGTGAGGGCGTAGGAGCGGCCCACGGTCAGATTGACACCGGGCAGCACGGTGATCATTCCTGTGTAGTCATTGATGGTGAAGTGTCCCTGATCCCCCGCCAAGATTTTGTAGCTCACCAACCCGTTGGGACCCTCATCAGCGTCCACTGCTGCCAGCTAAAATAAATAAATTGGAGCTGTTACTTCAGAGGAGACATGCAAAGGTGCTTATTCACGTTCATCACTGTCCAAGCTTCCTCTCTGGATCAGGCTGAATCACAAAACCTGCCAAGTGCATGTCCGGGTCA